GACACTTTCTCAAAACACCTTTTTGTGCTTGTTTTATACTGCCATTGACTGCCTGCTGACTCCTCACTTACTATTCACTATTTAGGAGCCGAAGGATTTGTAACCACAACTATTTTGCACCATTTTGAAGTTATCACCTGATTGAACGGGTGTTGTCAGTGGTTGTCACCATTCTAACGCTTCAGACGGGCCAAACTGCCCCTTTCCTCCTTGTGAAAGTTAAACGTGTCAAATTGAAAACACACTTCAGGTTTAGGCAACATAACTTCCTGGTTAGTTTTAGGAAAAGATTGTGGTGTGTGTTAAATAACTATGTTTTTTGGTAACTAATGTAAATGGCGTTAGCCTAAGTTACTTAACAAATGTACAATGTTGTCTTCTTGTGTTGGTGACGAATGGACTATAATGAACCTCGTAGGTGTAACAGCCCACAGCTCAGCCATATCTAGGAGGCGGATAGCGCTGATAACTCTCATCTAATTGGCTGATAATTCATTTCAGTACAAGGTCTATTCATATCTCTGTTGTAAATGTGGGAGCTCACATGTAAAGAATGTATAGGAGCAGTGCTTATAGAGATTAACTTTCTTATATCATTATCATTGCAGAAAAAAAAGAACAGACGTATTTTGCTCAGTCAGCAGAAGTAGAGTTTTTTTTTAAATATAACCATATCCAGATGTGTAATATGTGTCCATAGGGAGTTCTGAGTTCTGGGTGCATCCTGCAGGGCCCACACATATTCCACATTCGATGTTTCATCCACTGGAAAAGATACTCTCGTTCTCATTTTGAAACAGGAAATAGAGGAATGTGCAGGGATGTCGTAGGTAAACCCACATGAACACAGTTCATCCCTCTCATTTATTTTCACAGTGCTTTTTGAGACTGCTGATTTTTTGTAGTATTAGTAGTCGTGTATTTAACCTTCTTTTTATTGAGCCTCAATCGTGTGTATTCCCTCTTTTCAACCATTTCCACGTGTTATTCTTTACCTGTCCACCAGATGGCCTCAGACTTTTCTGTCACTCCTATCTGCCCTGCAAGCGCCTCACTCTCCTCCCCTGAGATTCCCAGTCCATCTCCCCACCTGCACCTTGTGAGGAATTTAAGCTTTTAAGCTCCTAATTATGGAAGTTATATGTTACAATGTATTTACTTAAGGACGTTTAGACCAAGAGATCCATTGTTCCCTGGCAGAATGTCTGACCCTGGCTGTTTACAGTTATGAACGATAATGATCAGTCCGTTAATGCAGCCCCTGGTCTTCACTCCACGGTGGCGGAACAATGGATCTGGGCCTTTGATCCGCTGATGAGGGAATGAGGTTGTTAGGTCCATAACTTTTGGACACAGGGAGAAATCGCCCCGTCCGGGCCACACGGCAGACAGATGTGTCTCCCCCATGCTCTGGAGGAGGTCTGCCTCTCTTCCCCCCTTCCAAGGTCCTTTGTCCCTCCAAAGTTACATCTCTCAGCTCATCGATCAGCTCATTGATTGGCTGAAGTCCAATAAGCCCCTCCTTGGCCCTTGACCCATTGTCCTAAACTTCACACCTCACCCAGCCACTTTCCAACACATTCCTCAAACCCCCACTCTGACAGGCACTCAAACACATCTCTTGGCAGAGTCTAAAGATGGACTGAAACTTCTTCAAGCTCACAGACACCTTGATACACTACTTCATGTTTTGCAATCATGCAACGCACAGAACTAGTCAAAATCCACATCCATCCAGAAACAGTGTGACAGTAGCTCAGGGTAATCCCCACAGTCAGCAGCTGAATCAGACATGAAGACATAAGACCCAGTAATTCTAAGCTTTCATGCCTCTTCTGCCTCTGATCCTTTAGAATGAAGCAACGTAAACTCATGACCTCTTGTCAAAGTTACATATGTTTATGATGAGCTCTTGAAGCAAGAGTGATTTCTACCTTCCAGTGCCACTCAGAGCGTTCATTTGGAGTTTTATAGTCCAGAAGAGGTCAAACTACCAGTATGTCACCAGACTAAAGCAAAGGGTAAGTGAAGTGTAAAAAAAAAGAAGCAAAATGGTTAAAGTTTTTAATTTCCTTCTGTTCTAACTTGTCATTTAGCAAACCACTGCCCTATGAGATATGATGATGGTGAGGTCTGTTCACCACGTGTGGAGCAACAAGGGGACACTGTTCACAGAATACACGCTTCTGGTGAATCTTTTAAACCCTGTTCTTTGAGACCACACACTACATGTCATTGTATTGGGGTTGAGTCAGATACCTCAAAACCTGGACCAATAAAACCAAAACTATCTGAAGTGACAAAATGTTTTTTTTTGTAATGTTGATGAACCAGCTCTTCAAAGTTGGGGTTAATATTACAGTCCATGTCGTGAACGCTTCAAGACGTTCACTGTGAGGTTGATTGTTGGGAACGCCTCGTCCCACCTGACCAGCAGCTGCTCCCAATCAGCAATCAATTAGCAGCCAGGAGGATCCTTCTTAAGGAGGCTCAGACCACTGAGGAGCATAGCAGTGAATCTAGTGCTAACACAATGGCTGTGCTTTGCGAGTTGTCTTTGAGGTAAGTTATCAAAAGGTTCCTTGGAAGTGGTTTTTGAGTTGTCTTCTCTCAGTTGGCTGAACTAAACATGATTGTGTTTGCAGGATGTTGTGGATTTCATGCCTGTTGATCAGCAGTGTAACTTGTCTGCCTGCACCAAAAGGTAATGTTGGCTGTCCAAAGAATGCACAGTTCTGTCACCATTAATGTCGGCTAACTTCACTTTCAAAAACCAAATTGATGGCTAGTGCTACGCCCCAACAGATGTCTCTGTCAAGCAAGCGCCCGCTGGGAGTGACGCTGCTGGTGTTGGTTCTTGGTATGACAACAGTGGGTTTGCTAACCCAGGTGTAGGCTCGGTTGACGCTGGATTCTACTACGCCAACTCCGGGTCCACAGGCGGCGCAAATGCAGAGTTTCCCAGTGACTGGGGTGAGGAGGAAAGATCTAAGCCCGTGTTCAGTGACGTGTCACACCTGGAGCCAGTTTACTCTTTCAGGTCCCGCTCGCGCTACAACAATGGAAGACGGCAGTACTTCCGAACAAGCTACATTCCCGGACATATCCGGTTTCCACCGATGCCTGTTGCCGAGAACAGCCCTCAACGACTCGTCAAAGCTTGATCCAAAGGTGACCAATGAGCATCTTGAAAGGTAGTAATACTTCTACTGTCTTTGCTTGTGAATTTAAGTTGAGCCAATTTTGACCTTCCTGCTTCTGTCTCCCCAGATCTTTAGATTTAGCCCGACTGGATCCCTCTTGAAAGAGAAATAAAGTTGTGCTTCTCTAATCTTCAGTTTGGTCTTTTTTGTAACCATTGCAGCTGGTGGTGTGGGTAGTAGCTAAATGTTTGCTCAAATGGCTGAGGGTGTGCCACTGACTATCTAAAAGCCGCTATGCTGCACTACCCTCATACGGCGTTTACAGCTCAACGCGCGTGCACGTGTGCACACACACACACTCTGTTGGCTGAACTCCTAACAAGACATTTTATTCTCTTTGCAGGCATAAGTTGCATCAAAATTGTAACTATCCAGTAAATCTGCCGGTTACTTGTAGCTTTATTTCTACAGACTATCGCTCAGTTCTTTAAATTAGGCTGCAGCACAAGGATGTGGGAAAAGGGTGAGGCTATTGCTACTTTCTGAATGCACTGTGAGTTCAGTGTTTGCATTTTAGACATTCCCCCCCCAAGATATATCTATCTATTGCAGAGTTTTTTTTTTTTTTTTTTTTTTTTTTTCTTTCTCTTTTTTTTTTTTTTCTCTTTTTTTTTTCCCACTGCTAGATTTCAACTATTACAGACAACTCATCTGCTCCAAATGTTGTTGCCCCATTTGCATGTCTCTGTTTGGGCCCACCATGTAACATGCCTGTCAATAGCAGGCTGGGCCCCAGGAGGGCCTCTCAAAGGGTTTCTGTGAGAGGCCCTCCTTTGTGCAAGAGGCACAAAAGCTGGTGACCCGTTCAATTGCAAATCCACAATGCTCATGAGAATACACTGGGATTGGATTAAAGACTTCTATCACAAAGGCAACATTCATGACTTTTTTTTAAGTACAAACTTTAATTGTCTGAGAATATGAATTGTGTAAACTGGGTTAAGTACATTGCTGCATAATCTTAGACAAACTCTTTTACTAATAGTAAAAAAAAAAAAAAAACAGGTGGAGATGCTTCTGAAACGCACTGCGGTGAGATGAACTCTGATACCTGCAGCTTGGTTGGTGTAGTCTCACGACTTGACTGAGTCTCTAGTCACTGTGAACCATGGGCTTAATCCCAATGTCCCAAGGCCTTAAACCCTGAGCCCTCAGGGACTTCAGACATTAAATGGTGTAAACACGAATGGGACAGCACTTTGCCATGATGTACAATTGTGGGTATTTTATACTTTTTACACTCTGATTTGAATGTCTTCCAGGCTCTCCTCACAAAAGAGGTCATTGTCAAATCTATTTACTTGTTTCTTGTCATTTGTTTGAATAAAGTTGTGTATAATCTCTGCTTTCATGTGTTTTTATGTTCTATCTTTAATCCTTGTTTCTGAGTAAATGTAATATTCCAGGCCGAAATCCCATGTGCTATCTTTGTATACCTTTTTACGTCTGCTTCCACTGGTAACTGTTTGTCACGTTGCTATGAATTATGGGTAATTCCCTTGGGCAAAGTCTGCAGAAATGTGGATTTACAGAGTGTTCATAAAGGGCACTCAAAAAAACCAAAAAAAAAAACTTTTGTCAGAAAATGCGTATACAAATACAGCTACAAGTAACTGGCTTGGACATGCAGATTTTTAGTAAGAGCCCAAACATATGTTCATGGGAGCTGTCTGAAGGGGCCCTGGGCCCCTGAACGAACCCATTGTGTGACGCGGGTCCGGCCCTGGCTCATCCGTGTGACAGCGCGGATAGCAGCACAAGTAGGCGGAAAGGCGCCGAGACCTGGACCCGCCCGCCCGGGACACCATCGATCCATCCGGACTACCGCTCCATCTCTCCCGCTGACACAGTCACAACATGCGAGGCGACCCGTGAGAGTTTCTGACGAGCTTTTGGCGCTGCTGTCGTTCTGTTTTTGGGGAGGTGGGGGAGTCTAACGGGGACACAGTCAGTGAAGGAGGACTACAGAGGAACCGCTCCACACTCACCGAGCCGCGGATTAAGATGAGCGGTGTCCGCCTCGCTCTCCACGGTAAATCCTCATCTCACCACCGGTGAGGTGAAGTGGTCACTTTATAGAGTTTGAGTTGTTTAGCTTCCACAACACGTCTTCTGTCAGACTAGTGGAAAGAAATCATCCGAAATATACTTTTAGGAGGTTATTTTACTACTTTGTCTATTTGCGTCTGTAGATTTCTCCTAAATTCACCAAAAGTTAACATTACTTAATTAATGCCTCATTTGCATATTTGACAGTAATGAAGTGGTGAAGTTTCATGGTGATATTTATTAGTTAATTTCTTTACTCTATTCAACTGTAGAATCTTCTAAATATCTGTAATTGAACTAAACATCTCTTTAAAGGACGTTTTCTCTAAATGTGTTTTTTCTCCACTTCAGCAGCTCAAAACAAATTATTTTATGGCTGTTATTACTTTCTGATTTATGGAGTGATGCAAAGAGATATCCAAAAGTCCCTCTTTAAAACCCTCTGACTCTAATATGTCAACAAAATAAAACAAGAATTTAGAACCTGACTCCATCCAATGTTCAGTTTTCTGTTCTGGAAATGTATGCAAATGAGCATATATTTGATAAGAGAAGGCCTCATTTGCATATTTAATCACAGACTGGAAACTTGTGATTCATAAAATGATTGTCTTAATGTAACTAGTCAGCTGGGGAAGTTTCATGGTGATTTCTATAAGTTAGATATTTTAATAACCTTTTCACCTGTAGGTCCAATGAACGTGTATGAAAGCAGCGCTGAACTCATGGGTGCTCCTGCCCCCCCCCCCCTCCTCCCCCCTCCCTCCTCCCCCCTCCCCCTTTACAGTGCTGCTGCTCTGCGAGTTCCTTGGGGCGCAGCAGCAGCAGCTGCTGCCCGGGTCCTGCAACTTTGAGCTGGGCACCTGTGGCTACACATCAGACCCAGAGTATGGCAGCTGGAGCATGAACGAAGAAGGTACCGTGTCATCACAAGCTTATTGACAGAAATAAACACGCTCGCAATGCTTCACGGCCACTCACACTGCCATTTACATATAGGCTGCCATGGTGAACAGTGGGAAAGTATAGGGCCTGTATAGGGACTCAGATATTCTTTAACCATGTAGAAATGTGTAGAAAATTGAAAGGTAATGCAAGTCAGGTAATTATTAAGGGTTTTCAAAAGTAATATTACAATTCTAGTGAAGCAATTACATTTTTTGTTCTTTGTGCTCTGACAATCTCCACCACAGAAAAAATCCTAGCTAATCCCAGTTAGTTCGCGCTACCTTGTCAGATTGAAGTAGCGCGTCAGTGTCTGCTGTCAGTTTGTGGCTTCATGTCACCAGCTTCCATTGAAAATGACTCGTAGCCTGTCGCTGTGTCGTTCGTAATGTGAGCGCAGCATAAGCTACATGATGGCTGCAGGTGTTGAATCCATAGACTGTATATAAGAAGTGGACGTAGTCATCGCGACGTCACCCATTGGTTTGTGAACTGATGTTTTGAAGCCTCAAGTTCCGCGATTTCGCCATCGCCATCTTGGATTACGGCCGTCGCCATGTTGTATTTTTTGCAACTGATAACCGGAAGTTAACATATTTGGAATGCAGAGGAGTGACGTAGAGACGCCGTATACGTCTCTGGTAGCAGAAGCAACCTGTCAATCACAGTAAGCCCGCCCTAAAGCATCCCCTGCTTTATGGTCTGTTTGACTCTAAATGGACCATAATGTACTAAATGAACATCATGCTGTATTAAAAAAGACTTGAAACTAGAGATTGAGACCATAAACTCATGTTTACAATGTTTACTGCGGTAATAAATCAAGAGAGAAGTAGAGTCATTTTCTCATTCTCTCTCCCAACTCGTCAATTACAGATACTTGGTTATTGGCCATATGCTTCAAATTCTGATGCTCTAGGTACCTCTCTGACGGCGCGTCAGTTTCCGCATGCTGCACACAAAATGTCTTTTCAAAATACACTTTCATCTTCAGAGGAAACGTACAGTTTTCGCTTTCTACATGCCAATTGTATTTTCAAAATAAACTTCTGTGTTAACAGGAAAGGTTTCATTCCCGCTTGTTACATGCATGTCTTTTCAAAATAAAAAAAATACAACTTTAGAAAAGATATTCTTCCTATGTAGATTTAGTTAGTTTTTAGTTTGACTTAAGCAACAAAACTACTCGGCTAGTTTCTGCTTTTCAACATAAAGTTCTGTGTTCACATGGAACGAACAGCTTCCACTCGCTTCATGCGAAGTGTCTTTTCAAAATAAACTTCATATCCACGGGACACTTACAGTTTCTGTTGGCTACATGCAAAGTGACTTTTCAAAATAAACTTTCGTATTCACAGGACACTTACAGTTTCCGCTGGTTACATGCAAAGTGAATTTTCAAAATAAACTTCGTGTCCACGGGACACTTACAGTTTCTGCTGGTTACATGCAAAGTGACTTTTCAAAATAAACTTTCATATTCACAGGACATTTACCCCTTCTGCTGGTTACATGCAAAGTGACTTTTCAAAATAAATGTTCGTATTCACAGGACACTTACACTTTCTGCTGGTTACATGCAAAGTGTCTTTTCAAAATAATCTTCCAACGTAGGTTTACTTCGATTTTTGGTTAGGTTTAGGCAGCAAAACTACTTGGTTAGGCTTAGGAAAAGATCGTGGTTTGGGTTAGAATAACTGCATTTGTAAAGTCCGGAAGTTACGTTACAAAACTACGGTAAAATAAGTCATCCTTGACTTGGTTTCACACAGGACATAAACAGCGGTCTCCTGGGTGAAAGTCTGTCTGTTTGACCCATCCATTCACCGCAACCTCCCTAAGTGCACTTTCTTGCTCTTTGTAATATGTCAGCTGCACTGCCCGTCTAATATTGGCGTGGATGGATTTATAGTTACTTGACAGTGTTGATACCAGACATTATGCAAGATATCACAGAAAAAAGCAAAGATTAGAATGAAATTTGAAAAATGGTAACATTTTGTGGAGCAGACTTTCCTTTAAACAATTACTATCCTCTAACTCCGTGCTCATGTGGCGACCACTTGTGGGGGCTCTGACCCCCGGGTTGGAAACTCCTGGGCTAGATAACCACAAACGTGTTTTAATCCAAAAAAGACCATGTGAGTGTATATGTGTGTGTTTGTGTCTCACTGCGATGGGTAATAAAACATGACGAGGGTTTTCCCTGTCATAAAACAGCTCTTAGAGGATTTCCGGTCTGTAGAGACGGTGCCAACACGTCACGTCTCCCACTGCTCTCGTTCTACTGGGCTCACCTGCTCTTCTCCTCATTTTGTTCTTTTCATCGCTCACTACAGAAGTAGTGCGCTGAAACTTGCAGTCAAATGGTGGCTGAGACCTTTATTTACCTCACGAGGTCTTAAAGATGCCCTCCAGATGTGTTTTCAGACATGATAAAGTTTAATGTTAAGATCCTTTAAACCACATCTACCCCCCGTCCCTGAGAGAAAACTCCAACATTAGACTGCTGGACCCAAGATGTCTCCTGCCTCATGGAGACATGTTTACTCTCATGGTACTGTACACTAGAGTACAGGATAGAGGCTCTCAACCTTTTGTAACTTGAGGTCTGATAAAAAATTAAATGACTACAAAAAACGTGAAACATTTTTTCTGTTTTATAAATACATAATATCTGATTTGGCGTCTGTATGAGATGCACCGGGCTTTTGACTAACTCCATTGTAAACCCATCTGTGTCATCATTAATCCCTCAGAGGAACTGAATAAAGACAGAATGTCTGTGGAGGTCGTGTGGGACAGGAGCTTAGAGATCGCGGTTCGTGTCCCGTTTAAAACCAATTCAAGGACTACTTATTTTACTGTAGTGTTGTTACGTAACACCCGTACTGAAATAAAGCCAGTTACTTAACAAGCTCACTCATTTTATCTAACAAATGTACTTATTTTAACCCAAACCTAAATGAGTAATTTAGTTGTTTAAGTCAAACTAAAAACGAAGTAAATCTACAAAGGAAGAATATCTTTTATAAAGTTGTATTTTATTTTATTTTAAAGAGACACTCTGCATGTAACGTGCAGAAACTGACACGCCGTCCTTGGAATGTTCGAAACTGACTCTAGAGGGGAAGCTAGAGCTTCATAGTTACAAGAGAAGCCATTGACCAAGCGTCAGTGTTTGACCGGTTGAATAGTGAGAATGTGTTGAAAATATCTTTGATATTCAGCTTGTTATGATTTCATAGATACCAAATACTTGATTGTGCTCTTTTTAGTTTCTGAGACACTGCCATTCCCTCATCTTAGCCTCCTATATTTAGTCTGGCACGTGGTACGACTACTTCTTATATTTCATTACATTTAAAAACAAATGTGCCCAAAGATTAAATATAAAAACCCTTATTTAAGCCCAGAGAAGATTTTCACCAAAGGAAAGCAAATGAGTCCATTTGCAGTTTCAACGCTTCCTCCCATGTTTACGTGCTGTCTTCAGGATGAAGCCCATTTTCACAGCACTAGTTCTTCAGTAACAACAGAAGCACGTCATCCTCATCGCTCTGCTGCTTTCATATTCTCTTTTCAACACAACTCCTCTTCTCATTCAGTAATTATTTGCTTTTGCTTTTACTTTGCTGTTCTTTCGATCAATGGGCATAATGTGTACTTTACTTAGTAGGACTTTTAGTTTGAAAAGTGCAGGAAGTGTTACGTTTCATTGACAGTATCTTAACACCGAGCCAAAGAACAGTAAAGTAGAGGAGATTGGCATTAATCAGTAAATCCCGCCCCCTCAGTGTTTGTGACACTTTGCCATTTCAGTACGAATACTTTGCTTTTTGCAAAGCAAAGTATTCAAACCTTTTTCTTTTCAAATCACAGTTATATTTAATACTACAAGCGCAGCCTGTCATTAGTGAGTTGCAGTGCGGTGGCACTGAGACTCTTTTAGATGGGTCAAACACACTGGAATGCCAAAACTAAATATTGCTTGGTAGCCCTGTCCCACAGTCGGAGCTGCCAGGCAGGAACCAGGGCTCTGCCCTAGAGTCAACGTTTTTAGGTTAAGAGACAAAAGTTGAAGCTGTACAAATTGTTGCATATTGGACACAGACGTTGAAACCAGAGAGGTTACAAAGTTGGTGAATCAGGTGCTGGGAAAGAATTCAGTCCGTGTAGGCCATTTGAAATGTGCTCATTCACTCAGACGTTCACTTGGAACAGCACAGAACAGCACTGACGCCACAACAGTGCAGCTCACTCCATATTGGACACATTAGAGGAAAGTGTGTATGAGCCACCAATCAATACAGCTTTACGTTACTGCTCACTTCAAACTTGTAGCTTCAAAAGAAGTAATAGCACTAGAATTCGTATGTAACCCACGTAATTGTGAGCCACGACAGAGGACGTGGTATATAGAGCGACAAGGTCTGTGTTGGGAGGTAAGTTGGGGGTTAATGGGTGAATCATGCAAACATTGGAGTTTCACTTAGGAGACTGTGGGTCGTGTCCCCGAGTGAAACCAGATGTCAACGCTCACTTATTTGCTCTATATCTTCCATATTTAAAGTTCTTATGAGGAACTTTCATTTTGTGTTGATTCTGGCGGTCCCTGTGGACACAAGCGGAAGTGTTTCCCTTTAGAAAACCTCTCTCTTTACTGCAGCGGCTGTCTGTTCAGCTTAAAAATGTTGTTATTCTTGAAATATTCAATCATTTTCTCATTAATTTATTACTTTAACCCCATACTGTTAAAAAAAAAACTAAAAAAAACTTTTACAGCATTTTGATTTAGTAAAATTAGTGATTTATTCCTGAAATATTGCAATTTTCTTCAATATTATATCAGCCTTCACTTTATTCTCGTGATATTAGGATTAGAACAGTACTGTCGTGATTATTACAACTTTGTCTCGTACAAAAAAAAGTCAGATTATATAACGGTGTTTTTTTGTCATCATTTTCTTT